CTATTTATGGCATAGGCGACTTTACAAATAAAAATAAAATAAATAAAATAAGTAAACATATATGTATATAAAATGAAAAGGGAAGGATAATATAATAATATTGAGGATATATATTTAAGCGAAGTAATAAGGAAAATTAATGTTTGACTAATAGGGAAGCTTTTCGATAAGAAACGGTACTGTTAAACAGATCAGCGGTAAAATAAATTATATCGATTATCGCGATTATTGGCGTGAATATTTTGAACCTGGCGTGCAGAATGTAAAAATATTAATGCAAGACCGGTTATTATACATTTAATTTTATCCATAAAACCAATTTTTAAATTAATAATTGGACATAATAATTATGCGAAGATTAACGAACCAGTAATTATAATCTGGGAAAAAAAAGGCACTACCTGCATATTTTAATAAATACATGGGAGTATTATATATATTTTTCGCCATGGATAACTTCCACTATGCACATATTACAAACAAATATCACTATATTGATATATGCGCAATTGTAATCGGAATTTCACGCGAGAATAATTTACATCTTAGATTATCCCACTAATGTGAATAAAGAATCAAGCGCGTAAATTTTGTAAGAATATTTTTTTTTAAAGAACATAGATGTATGCAAACAGATTTAATATTTTTTTTTGGGAGACAGTCTAAGAATTAATAAAATATTCGAAGACCAAGTCTTTATGTAATAAATATGTATTGATAAAAATACGCAAACAAAAACACATCATTCTAGAACAAAAATAAATCAAATCCTTGGGTTTCTCACCTCGGATATTAAAAAAAAAAAAACCTCAAAATTAATAAATTGCATATACGAAAATAATAATTTATCTAAATCAAGAATATTGGCTTGTATAAATGATCACAACCTACTGACATGAGTTTTCGATTAATAAGCATTATCTTTTATTGAAAATAAATGCGTTAAAATTTACATACATACATTTATTGACAGAACAATACGCATTTAAAATTCTAGATAATATGTAAACTTTTAAAATACGATAAATTGTCAAAAAAAAAATTTAAACATTAGATTATCGAACAGGAGACTTTTGATCATCTCAACGCATTGGAACAACAGTACATGAAATAAGTATATTGACCTTTTAGCTTTCATTTTTAATCATACTTTTCATGTAATAGATAGAAAAGGAAAAAAAAAAATACTAAATTAATTAAAATAAACAGAAATAAACAAAAGATTAAATCAAAAAATAATGAAAATAGAAATAGATAAAGAATAAATAAATTATGTAATAAGTTAGAAAATCAATTACAATAAGTTTAATGATGCAAAAAAATTAATTCTAACGTGAATTGATGAGTAAAATAAAGCATTATTTAATATAAATAAGATTTCAGATATTCCGTTGGTTGCTTAAAATTTCATGTAATCTCATGTGTATAATTTTCAACCCCCGCGCTCTTAATTAACAATTTCGTCAGTACCTTTTGAGCTAGATGATATATAAATTAGGTAGACTACAATATAGATAGAGCATTTGTTGTGTAATCAAAATTCGCACTTTTTAGTAACTGATATCCAAAGACCTATTCCTTATATGATTAGGTTAATTATTTAATTAATATATTTAATTTAAGTAGGTATTAATTTTAATTAATTTAATTAAATTAATTTATTTAAATTATTTAAATTATTTAAATTATTTAAAATTTAAAATTTGCAATTAAATAATATAAATATATATAAAATATAAAAAAAAATACACATTGGCCCGATACACAAAATTACGGATATGTGGATATTTGCAGATATCCAAAACCTAGTGACAAAAAATTTTTCAGAAGGCCAGAAGATCTTTAAATTTTGGCTTAAGAAAGTGGTTCGACCCGTGGATACAAAATCCGGATATCCCGGATTTATCAGATTTTTCACGGATAGCAATCCATATCCGTTATGGGTATCTGGATTTATTGGATTTTTCACGAATAGCAATCCGTTATTGAGTCTGCGGATTATTTGTTAACAATTTTAACAATTTTAACAATTTAACACTTTGTTCTAACTCCTTGTATATAAATGTATAATTATACATTTAGTAGTCAGATCCGGATATCTATTTATCCGCAAACAAGGTTATGAACGCGTACAATTATGATTCAAATAATTTATAATATAACTAAACATAGAAATAGGTTTCATATGAAATAATTTCTTATTTTGGAATACAAAAAAAAATAAGAAATAAAAAGATAAAGAATTATAAAGATAATCTTATAAAGAATAATTAATTATAATACATAATAATAATAATAATAATAATAATAATAATAATAATAATAAAATAATAATTTATTAAATAATTTTAATAGGAATAGACACACCTTAATAATTAATAATGTTCATTCATTCATTTTAAAATATTAATATTATATCCCTTACTTTTAATGTTAAAAATTAATTTTTAACTTGGATTAAACAATAATAACAATACATTAGAGCAAAGGGAGGAAAAAGGAGGGAGGGAGGAGAAAGGGAGAGAGGAAGGGAAGGAGGGAAGGGAAGGAGCGAGGGGAAAAGAGAAAATATTGTTTTAAATGAATCTAACTAGTAACAATATGGAACATTTTATATAAAATTCCAGTTGTTTATGACAAAATAGGGTTAAAACGCGTATGCACTGTATATGTATGATGGAATTCATATTTCGATTTCCTTTTTTAGAACTTGTAAATACGATTATTGATAATTAAAAATGAGCAAGCGTGAGAGTATTTGAATATAAAAAGGGTGTGAGTGTGTGAAAGATTTTTCGTTGTCTTTGTTTTAAACTTTATCACGTGTATTAAATTCCTTAGCCATTGATGATCCATTACTTTGGTATTGAAAATAAATAAAGAAGAAATGATGATATATGTAGTTACGACTCCTTTAATGGTTTAATTATACAGTAACAATTTTACCATAACAGATAATAATTTTGATTATAGGGTAGGATAAATTTTTTTTTTAAAAAAAAAAATTCAAGCGCCATAATTCCAAATTATTTGCTAATACTAAAATCTATATTACGTTCATATTATTTTTTAAAAAAGTTTATTAACATTAAAATTTCTATGGGGTAAATTTTGTGCATAAATTTATATATAATTTATAATTTATACATTATTTTTATACATAATTTATATATAATTTAAAATTTATACATATTGTAAAGAATGACTTCTTGAAAATAACTCCATTTATAAATCATTTAAAATCATTATCTTTTAAGAAATCACCTGAGAAAGACTAATAATCAATATGCCAAAATACCAAATTTCTTCATTATATAACGCGCTCGCATATAATAAACAACAGTTATCAAAAGGATAGTGCAGATCATAATCTTCACGCCATGCGGAATCTTATGATATTTATTTTGTTATGGTTAAAATTAACTTGTAAAATAGGTTGTTTAATTTGTATAATATGAATTATATTATATATCATACAATATCTTTTAAATCATATATATACAATATCTTCTAAAAATAAATTGATAAACTAGAATTATGTAACGAATATGATGATTATGTAAGAATTAAACGTATGATTATCAGAAGAGAGAGAAAAGAAGAGAGAAAAAACTCGAGAGATAGAATGATTGATTGAATAATTTAAAGTAATACTTTTATTATTGCAATTACAATCTATTGATTTCTATTTTGTTTTTATTATTATATTTATGTTTTGATATAGATTTTACAAATATAAAAATGTTCATTCATACAAATATATGAATTAATATATAATAATAATAAATCGATAGTAAATATATGAATTGCATAACAAACATTCCTAATTTTTTGTATAAAAATTTTTATTTATTTTTACGGTCAAAGAATATAACAATGCTTGTTTGTCATGTGAAACAAAAATACAACTACTCAATAATAATAATTAATAATTACAACTCAATAATTATAATAATTATAACTCAATAATTAATTATAAATTAAATAATTATAATAACTCAATATAGCTTAATAATAATAAATTCAACTTTATGATATATCCTAGAATATATGATCATTATTACTGGGATTAAATATAAAATTCTGTTAATTTATAAATTAGATTGTTGAAGTAAGGTTTATTTTTTTAAATATATATATATATATATATTTCTTTAAATTTCGATAAAAATACTTTTGACTCCTGGGGTAATAAGGATTATAATAATCGACAATACAATATATAAAAATATATAGAATATATAGAATATATAGAATATATAGAATATATAGAATGTATAACTGTATAATAATCTGTAAATTTAAAATAGTACCTTTTTTAAATGGAAAAAGAGGTGTAACATTTATCTATAAATATAAATTCTTAATTTGGTTTGTGATAAACCACTATCATCACAAAATAATTGTATAATCGGATCAAATTTGTCATTTTATTTATAAAGTATAAATTTAGTATATTTAATTCTCTCTCTCTTTATAATAATAATATATAATAATTGTATATTTGGTAAAAAAAATTGAATAAAATAAATAAATATATATAAACCGAGTATGTATACACTTATTTTTCAAAGTAAAAAACTTATATATATACATGAAATATTTCTCTATCAAAAAAACTTTTCAAACGAAAAGTTGTCGATTTCCCTCAAATCGTTAAATTCCAATATTACTTTTATATTATACGTCTTCATTATTTCCCTTAAGAAAAAAAAGAAACTCGTTCCTTATTGACTTTCCGTTATTATATATATTTTTATATAATTATTTCAAATAGAAACATAATCATTGTAAATTTGTACTCCCACGTAAATATATTTTGTATTCCCAATTGTATAAAAAATCATATATATAATCGTTAAATCCTGAGACAACCCTGTTTCTTTTTTTTCAAAAAAAAATTTTTTTTTGAATCTTTTATAAATAAAATATATTCTATTATTAATCTCTTTAATAATTTAATAATTATATCAAAGGGTTAATAAGAGTCAATAAGAAACATGGATAATATTGACTCCTCTTGCATTTGCGGTATTTGCAGTAGACGTTTATTTGATGCTAATGCTCTATACTGTTCAAGTGATTGTGCTAATAAAGATTCTTCCACTTCATCAAATTCAATGAAACAACCTTTCCAATCTAATCTTATGCCTTCCTCACCACCAAGTAACTTGAGATTTTCCATCGCAATCACTCCAAATATTTATCACGCTTCTGAAAATAATAATTCCAATGTTTTCTCCAATCCTGCTTCCCTCTCTTCGTCTTTTTCTGATTCTGATTATTCCGAATATTCAACCTCCTCCTTCACTTCTATTTACAATTTTGACAGTGACTACAAAGGTTTTAGGGGTTATAATAGTTACAACGATTTTAATAGCGAATATAACTTAAATTATGAATTCGATGATTACCAAAGTACCCAAAATATAAAAGATGATGATGACTATTATCCTTCAATCTATTCAACTTCTGCCCCTATTGATATTCCTCGCCCAAGAAACAAGGATAATGACAATAATGAACCTGTAAATAAAGGGACGTTTGGCGAAAAAAGTATCTTTTGAATTATCCATTTCTTTATTTTTTTGATCGAAATATTATGAAAGAAAAACAAACTCATTAGAGAGAAAGTATTAATGACTCTTATATAATTTAACTTTTCATGTATGAAAATATGTTAATATATGTATAATATGATTTTTGATATTCGCAACAACAAAAACTTGTAAAAATTTACATTAAATATTTTTAAAGATTTTTAATTAATTATAAATATATCTCGTAGATATTTAATTTTTAGTCACCCTTTTTTTTTTTTATTTTATTTCCTTTTTATTCTATTCCTTTTTTTATTCTATTTCCTTTTTTTTAACCGAGTGAAACGAAAACGAAAAACGAAAACGAACTACAAAAGCAAAACGAAAACGACGCGGAAACGAAAAATCCATAATATGCAATTAATTATGATATTATTATAAGCAAAATTTTATATTTATCAATAATTTATGAGCGAAATCAAAAAAAAAATATATATAAGAATACCTTTTAAGTTTAATATTTTGAATATATCGACAATTATTATAAAAATAACAAAAAAATATATGTATATACTTTTCTCTCTAATATCAACATACTTTCTATTTCTTGTTTCATTTTAAATTTTACCATCCTTCTCCTCCTTCTGTAACATATATTCCTCCAATTGTTTTACCTTTGTTTTATCGACATTGAATGCCGATATTATCTCTCATTCCTTTATGTATAATTTTTTTATTCTCAAATTTCTCTTAAATTCTCGTTTATATATATATTTGATTCGAGGGGAAGCTCGATAGTGAATGTTATATACTATTTCTTTATCTATATATAATGTACAAAAAATTATCGTTAAGTATTTTTTAAATTTTCTTGTTTTACATTTTTCAACTTCTCTGGGGGGTCGATGTTAAAGAAAATCATGAAATTTAAAAATACTATAATGCAAATAGTTTATTTTTATTATCTTATCTATTATTTGAAACATTTTTAAATATAAGTTGTGTTAAAAGAAAAAAAAAATATTGAAATAAATTAGTAGTGCAATTTATTTTAAAAATCACATAATATAACAAGTGTTAAATTTGATCGTTTTACAATGAAAATGAATTTCTAATGAATTCGATGGAATTGACATATAAAAATAATTCGAAGTAAATTATCTTATAACTATGTTATCTCGGTCAACTATTTTTTCTTGTTTTTATAGGTCGATATAATTTCTTTCCAGAAAATAAATCAACGTAATCTCTTGTGATTTCACCATCAGAACTTTTCTTCATAGAATCTTGAATTTTTTTCTTGTTTGATTTTTTTTTCGTAATTTTAGAAGTAGTAATTTTTGAAATCGAATCTTTTGAATCTTTTTTGTCTTGTGTTGGTGCAGAAGTAATAGTGGTGGTTGAAATGATTTGTTTGACATCTTTTTTCTTTGTTTTCATTACATTTAAATTTAATTAATGATTTATTTCAAGTTCATAATTATTTATAACAAAGAAAAAAAAAAGAAAAGCTTACGAGACGTTTGTGAAATTTGGCTGATTTCCCCATAAGTTCTCTAAAATTTCTAAAATTCGAGATGCAAAAAGAAAAAAAAAATAAAAAATATCTTATATATCTTGTGAGACAATTATTATTACGAACACAACAAATAGAGGTTCGACTAATGTCACGTGATATAATCTCTGAGTGTCTTACCTAAAATGGTAAATTTAATGTCGATCGTAATTTGCGGGAAAATAATAAAAATTCCCCGCAAAAAAAAGGTATATTTCAATGACCAATTTACACACTGACCATATGCGTCAATGCGTTGAAAACAATTTTCTCCAAATTTCTTATGAATAAAAACACTCGTGTTAATTTTTTTTTCGTCGAAATTAAATCGCATTCTATACAAAATGCTAACCTTAAATAAAATAAGACTTGTAGATAATGTTTATCTCACATGATTTTTGTGAATAAATAATGAAAATTAATAGTATTAATAATAAATAGTCATAATAATAAATAGTGATAAAAATCGCATTATGTAATATTTTGAAAATGATTTGATCAACAGGTTTACCTTTTCATCATTAACTAGTTTTTCAAATATAATATTGTTTACAAAAATATTTCGATATTGAATACACGCGATGGCAATCAATATAAAGTTTTTATATCTTTAATTATCAATATATTAACATAATTAAATATTATAAATATAATTCCCCTTAATTTTTAAATTAAAAGAAGTTGAATTTAACTTTATTATCTTAAAATTTTTTTTAATTTCTCCCTTAAACATTCATTGCTCTTTTTGGAAATGTCTCATATTATAAATTAAAAAGAAACATGTTCATGTGTTTGTATTTAATTTTTTGGTGCAGATAAGAAAATCCAGAAAATCCAGAAAACAGAGAAACAAACGAAAACCATTTTCACGTGTTCTTTTTATGGCGGTTTCTTTAATATAAATATTTGGTGTTGTGTATCAAAATAAATTATAAAGTTAGAAGTTTATATTCTTATCATCAAATAAATCAATTATTAATTATTATATTTATGAGTGGGATCAAAATAATAACTAAAACTCCATTTTAAATACCATATTCATTTTTAATATACCAAATTGAGTTACCTGATTTTACATTTTCTATTGTCTTTAATAGTGATGTTCATTTACAATTTAGCTTGTGTTTCAATAGATTTAATGCTTTTATAAATCAAAAGATAAATAAAAATATCAGTTCATTTTATCTATTCGATGTAGAAATTTCGTAAAATAGAATTAGGTGAGATTTTATAGAACTTGAGTACAGATAAACGTAAACAAAAAAGCAAGAGTATATCCCCATATGGTTACTATTCCTTTTTCGTTACACATAATCTTTTCTATACCTGGAAAGTATTTTCTGTCTTTTCTTTTAAAAATAAAATAAAATTGTTAAATATTTGCTTATCCGATATTGATATTTTATTAAATTATTATTATATTGTTATAAATTATTATATATATCTATATCAAATTCAAACTAAATATTCAGGTGCAAAAATATTTAAAATTTTTTTTTAAAAGTGTCTAAATGTGATGATTTCAAAATGGCATCATTATTGAAGTGATATCTATCTACAAGTGTATATATACGTATGTTTTTGGCGAGGATAGAAAAATGAACATTGCCAAAGTGTATGTATCGAATCTATTGAATTTATTTGTTAAAAACTTTATATAGCATACAAAGCTTTAATGTTTTATTTCAAAGATGGCAATAAATACAACCAATATATATTTTTTAATGTTCGTTGTTCCCAAATTTGAAATATCGTTTTTTTTTTGGCATTGACGTGCATGGAATATTTTCAAAAAAAAAAAAAAAAAAAAAAACGATTTTTTCATATAATTAAACGGATCACATTTTTGCTGAATAATTTTGTTATTTGTTTGTTTACTTGTGCAAATGTGGCTTAGACTAATTCTTATTTTATTTTCCTTGTGATTATCTTTGACAACTTTGGTCTAATTTTAATACAAATTTGACCATTAGACCAAAAAAAATGGTTCAAACAATTTATAAAACAATATAGCAAAAAACCATTGTTCGACTTGAATTCTCACGATTTTTTGAAAAAAGCATTAATTTTGATCGATTTAAAATGCACATTGTTATGACACGAAAAGTTTTGATTGGCATTTTTGACATGGCTTTTGTTTATGTTTAACAAAGGGAATTTCGAATTGTAAATTTTAATTTTCAAAAATTGCTATTATAATGTCAATAATTGTATACAATGTCATTAATACAATATGCAAAAACCAATATGTCTAAATTATTTTTAAAACTTCTATTGTATAGAGAAAATATTGGTGTAGGTAATAATGTTGTGTTGTTGCCTTGTGCTGATTGATTTGTTGATAGTGAGTAAAGAACTTAATGTACCAGAAAATAGCGATCACAACAAATCTGGAATTTATTTTTTTTTAAAAATAAGTTTAGTTTATAAGATTGAAAATTTTATTAAAGTTTTTTTTTTTTTTGTTCTTTGTTCTTTTAACAGTATTAATTTTATTAAGTAAAAAATAGTATGAAGATCTCTTAGTGTAAGTAATACACGATTTCACTTAATTTAAATTTAAAAAAGAAAAATATTGATTTAGTATTATTTTAGTCGCATTAATAAAAAAGACCCAGCTCGTGGCAAAGGAAAATTTTACAATAATTTTTCCAAAAGAAGAAAAATGCAAATCTGCAGGGTTTATTTACATCACTTTCCATATTTGATTGGGAAAATTGAAAATTAGTCTAATTAGGTTTTTATGTTCAACTTGAAGGTTAGATTACCGAATTCATGGTTTAAGATTTTTTTTATCTAATCAGCTTATGTGAGACAGAATAATATGATAGAAATTCAATTCTCTATCTACTTCGTAGAATGCGCTGCTATGTTGTGATTGTGAATTTTCTTCTTCTTTATCAAAAGTAGAAATCATGCATTCCATATTTCGTATTTCTTATTTATACAAACAAACAAAACTTGATAACTTTACATCGAAGAACGCGTATTTATTCGTGTATTATTCATGTTTATTTGACGTTATCATTGACCTAAAGAATTTTTTCTCTCCTGAGTTATTAAAAGAACAAAACAAGTGTAAGTTAATTGAAAATGAATAAACATGTGCAAATTAATAAACAATTTCTAAAATTGAGACATTGAATCCCGGTAAAAGCATAATTCATTGGAAAAATAAATACTGTTTGTTACAGATGTCAAATGTAGTCACTGATAATGTACCGGAAAGCATGATAGATAAAATGACATTATCTCTTACTAATACTTCGAAACGATAACAACTTTTAAATTAATACAAGATTTTAAAAAAAATTATTAGATACGATTTATCTTAATGATAAAATCAACATATCATTGATAAGTGTCGGATAATAAATTTATCTTTTTATTTTTATCATTATTTTGTTTAACAATGTCAAAATAAAAAAACTAAATGTGAATACAAGTTAAACGAGATGTTACAAAGGCGCAAAATTCAATATATGACAACATGTAAGTAAGATTCATTGTTTTAATATTTTATGAATTCTTCTTATTCAAGATTTCAAATTCTTTAAATTCTTTAGTTATATTTTTCAAGGGGCCACAATGAAAAAAAAAATTCACAATTAAACATCATAAATAATTACACAACCACAACATAATAAATTGTAATGTGATTTTTATTTCATGACATTTTACTATTTAAAAAATTTTAATAATCCAAGAATTAATTACGATTATTTCTTATAATTCCTTATTTTAATATTGTTATGGATCAAGTTCCAAACTAAATTCTAATTTTCTTTAGAAATTCCTTAATTTCTTCGAAGTTCCGTAATAAAAATAATAAATAATTCCTTCTTATACATATTCTTTATTTTTATTATATTATTATTGTAACACCAAGAAATGTACACCGAAATAAGTAAACAAATATTGTGATGGGGTTCTTGAAAGATTCTCATACCGAATATAAATAATTAACACAAATCCAATCCATAACTCTGGTAATCACATTGAACAAACATAATTATAAACATTTAAATTTATAATTGCTAAAAATAGTTAAAATAGTTAAAAATAGCTAATTTTTAAAATACTATATCACCTAAAATTTTCCCAGATAAATTCTGTATGACTATTAAGTAGACTGGTTCAAGTTAGAAACTTGGAATAATATAAATATTGTAAAAAAATCTGGAATTTGGGCGTTTTTCCAAAAATTTGAAAGCCTTCGTGTAATAAAACACTGGGAAACACCGAGATTTTATTCTTTTTTCTCACGTGTTATACAAAATTTGGTAATATTGTTCTTACGCCAAACTAATAGTAGCCAATTAGCTACCTGTCATTTCTCCCAAACAAAGATATAGTGTTATTGTTATTTTTACTTTTTATCTAAATGTTGATCTTACTTTTTTTCTCGCGAATTTTGGTGATAACTAGTGTAAATTAGCTAAACTAGAATTTATGTTAAATTTAAATATAAAGATTTATAACTCGCTTAATTCTGGTAATTCGTGGGAAAGTAAATTAATAAATTAAATTTAACATTCAAGATTAATTTGAACGTTCAGTATTTAAAAATAGTTAACATTCAAGATCAATTTAGTTGGATAATAAATTGAAGATAAATTAAGTAATTAAACCATTTTCTCAAAAAAATTCACATTTGTTGAATGATAATCCGAACTCCTATTGAGGAGGGAATCAATATTTGAAACAATATTTTATTCTCTTGAATTATTATCTTGGGAATAACTCTTTTGGCTATAAAGAGTCAAATAATAAAACCAAAAAGATCTAGTAAATGACAATGGTTTAAAGATTAAATTAAAAATTTAGATTTAATTTAACTATTCATTTATGCTAAATTTTTCACTATCCATTTATGCTATTTATGCTGAGTTTTTTTTTTTTTTTTTTTTTGACCAAACCTTTTTCCTTGTTTTAAAATCATCCACAAAGGTTTGATCGGATGCAACTATCATGAGATGGAATTACTTAACTTTTTTGAAAACGATGAGTACTAGAATAATGTTAATAGAATATTAATAGAATAGTGATAGAATAGTGATAGAATAGTGATAGAATAGTAATAGAATAGTAATAGAATAGTGATAGAATAGTGATAGAATAGTGATAGAATAGTGATTTTTTTAAAAATAAAAAATAAATAGTGGCTCCGAATAAAAAGACATATAATAAAAAACATTTTCTTTAAGGGGAATGTTACAGATATTTCCAAATATATAACAATTCAATGAAAAATTTTTTATATGACACAGCTCTTAATAATAAAGTTAAACTTTGTCATGACACCAAAACTTGTTATACATCGTAAACTCTATAAACAAGTTTGAAAAACTTTTTTCTCTCAGTTGTGATATATTTAAGTATAAGTATACATGGGATTTAGTGTAACTATATAATAATTCAAGGGTGATAATGGTCATAATTATATGCTAGCCAATTATGAAATAGTATGCATTATGTAGTGTTGTTTTGTAGTTTTTCCGATGTTACATTTTGAATTTAAATTCGATTGATTCTGGTTTTTTTTTTAAAAAAAAAAGAACTAGCCAGTCGCATCTGATAATTCAATAATTGAACCTTATTTCTTTTGAATTCGATGAAGTAAATTTGGGTACAACGAAGCAACGAATCATAAAAAGAAACCTGGCTTTCTCGTTAGCAACTATATGACTCTAGCTACGAGATTTTTTTTCTTTTTGTTGATATTTTTTTCAACTCCGGTTAGCCCCTAAATTAACTTATTCGGGAAATTTATAAAGGTAACAAAATGATTTTCACATTTAAAAAGGCTTAAATAATCATCAAACAATAATTGAATAATTAAATAATAATAACTAACAAACAAACAAATAAACATAATTCGAAATGTTGGATTAATCGATGTTTTTAGGTTTACAATTGTTTTTTGGTGAAGATATCTTTTTATAAAAAGAACTTAGTACCTCAATGGGATTTCATTTAATATGTCTGTAATAACTCTTCACATGTAAAATTATTGCGAGTGAAAAAAGTAAAATAGCTTTCGTGTTCACTTTTAAGGGAAGAAATCTGCATGGCGTTTTTTAAGATTTTTTTTTTTAGAAAATAAAGTCCAAGGACCATTATTATTATTATAAAAAAACATTTGAGTCAAGGATATCACTTTGTGAAACATAATTATACGAAATATTTTCTTGAAAATCTTGTAAATAGAGAGGAATAGAGTAGTAATGGAGTAGGTATTGTAATAAGGGAGTAGTAATAATAGAACAATGGTAGAATATTTGTAACAATATAATAATATTTAAATTTTATATTTTCTTATTGGATATTTATATATTTTATATATTTTAATATTTTATTTCGCTGGGCTGGCCTACAAATGCTCTGAAAAGCAGATTTTTTTATACTTGTGTTTTTTATAGATATTTATATGTTTTTATGGATATTTAGAAAGACATTTATATATTTTTGTGTATTTTATTTATTTCTATATAAATATTTACATTTTATACATTTTTATACATTTTTATACATTTTTAGTCATATCTAAAATTTTGGAAAATATCATTATCAGATTGATTCGGAGTTGCGTGTTTTCCAACATTTGGTCGAAATACATATCCTGAGCGTGCAAATTTCACAAATGTAACGTATGACAATAGCTTGAAAACAAAAACAGAATATTGAAAAACAAGTTCCTTTATTTGCCTATTTTATATATTTGATGTTATTTATATATTTTATAAATTTTAAATTTTATATTGTTATTTTATATATTATTCTTTTTGTTATAAGAAGAATCATTTATAGTTTAGCGCGCATTGTCTGTTAGAAACTTTTATTGATTTATGAGAAAAATTGTGCGTTACTTGAAAGAAATCTTTTTATTAAAATAAACAAACCAAATAAAGGTAGGAATTTAAAGTACATTTCCTTATATAAAATTAAATAGATAAAATTTTTCTCAATTAGGTCTGAAGTATTATTTGTACTGAACTCGGAGAATTAGTTCACTATGTTACAAATTTGTAGTAAGATTTGTAAATTTATTTAAACTTTAATTTCTTGTTTACTTTAATGAAATAAATATCCGTCAAAACATTTAGTCAATCCAAGATTGATTCATTTTAGTGCTCTAGTTTATTTGAGTTAGTCTTATGAACATTGTGTGATGTTTTAGTTTTCATTTTAAATTCAATTTATTGAGACAGATTTTCGATATGTACAACAATTTGCATAATCAAAGTGAATAAAGTGACCCCCCCAAGTTAGATATTTATATAAATTACATTTTATAATATTTTATTTCACTTTATAACACTTTATAACATTATATTAACATTTATAAGTTCATATTTAATTAATTTATATATTGTACAGATGTTCGTAAAGTCTGTGATCACGAGATTCATATTATTTATGTTCTAAAATGACTACTTTCAATGATTTTACATTCTAAAGAATATTTTAATACTTACATATAAGTTCGATAATATGTAAAATTAATCACTAATCAAATAATAAAAGTTAGATATATATTGGACCGCAAACAATTCAAAACCAAAAATATAAATAATCAGCTGACGCAGCATTCAACAAGGTCATTGATGCAGGTGGATTAGAAATCGATCCATCCGTTCGGGGAGGGGTAAATCAGTTAGAGGACGGGCCCAGAGAATACCCGAAGTGGTGAACCATATTTTTATGAAGGAATTTAGTTGGTTCTGTAAAGGTATATTTATTATTTATTATAATTACAAATAAGTAATTAAAATTATCATTATCTTTATTATTTAGAGTGATGTCGGAAAGCTCGTTGGATCAGGAGAAGCTATAGACATAATTTTGCACTTAATAAGTTTTTTATTAAAAAATCTTTTTAATTCATTAACCAAAATAATTCAACAAGAAAAATGTCGATTTTCATTAAAAATTTTCACTCATTCATTATATATAATTCTATATTTATTCATTTTTTTTACTTTATGGTTGAATTGTAATTTATAATTTAATTAATCTGATAATTTTTTTTTTTCATTCTAATTTTTGAGAAAAAATAAAAAAATAAAATACAACAAAATGAATAAAGAAATAAATTACTCTATTTACTCTATGAATACAAAAGAAAAAATAAATGAATTGAACAAAGCGAACAAGCAAAAATTTATGTTTTCAGGTTTATAAATTTTCTCTTTTTTAAGGATTCACTTTCTATTTCATTGTCTGTTGGTAAATCTTCAAAAAATTCTGATGACTTATTTGACTCCCAATCGCGTTTAACGTATTTAAGTGCCGCAAGATTGTAACCATGTAAATCCTATAAAAAAAAATAAAAATAAAAATAAAAATAAAAAATAAAAATAAAATAAAATAAAATAAAATAAAAGACATAAAAAGATATAATCAATAGATATCAAAAATATTATATTGTTTTGCTACCTTCTGAACTTTCAAAGATGTATGTATATGTGTTCTAAGTGAATCCAATATTGGTCTCAAGACTCGATTAGCCACAATTTGATCATGGTGAACTTTAAGAAGTTGAATAAGTATTCGTGATGTCAATACTACATTCCATTCCTAATTAAAGAGAATAATGTCAAATAATGCATAAACGAAACATATCTTAAAAGGATAAATAAATAATAATGATAATAAAAAAAAACTATCAACCTTTTTAGCCCAAATGTCCAAGTATCGTAATAATGATATAACTTTGGTAAATGGTAAAATCAGTAAGGCTTCCTCTAAATCCGAAGATCTTATTTTTTCTATTATTTTGAGCACATATTGATCTCCTGTCAAATTTCCGAATGCGACAAGAATAGGATTTGATTTTGGTGGGGGTCCAGGATCTTGTCCCCTTTCCTTTATCTGAAAAATATAACATTCAATTTATTATAATTTTTATTTTACAAATTAGATATAAATGAATATCAAAAGAAAGTGAGTGAACGAACCTGATTATAAGTTGTCCAATCTGATGTATATTCGTCCGCAATGTCTAATGCCTCTATTATACGTTCTCCAGCTTTAAGTGTCTCTATGGTTTGTTTACCTGTAAGAGTTGTATCTAAGTCATCAAGATTGGTTTTTTCCAAAGTGGTTGTTAATGTAGATTCATATAACTCTTCCATTTCCTTTTCCCGTTCTTCTTCAAGGAAAAGCTATATATTTATACAAATTAAATAATAAAATTGATAATTCAAAAAGGGATATAACAAAAAAATTGTTTACCGGTTCATCTGTTTGCTCCCACATTCTAATAGATCTATCATGTGAACACGTAACTAATAAATCTCCTCGTTTACTAAGAACTAAAGACCAAATTTCTCCATGATGTCCTTCAAGCTTCATGATATTTTCAAACTTATGTAATTGGAAAAGACATTAAAAGATGAGTAATAGAAAAAAAAAAATTAAATAACGACACTAACTATATAATAATTACCTTATCACCATCCCAATATTTCACTAATCTATCTTTACTCGATGAGAAAATATAATGTGTGTGATGCAGAAATTGAACACACATTATACTATCTTGATGGGCGAATATCGATTTGCGACAATCGCCAAAATCAAGTCCCCATATTTTAATATTTTTATCTGCTGAACCAGTTACCAATAATGAATTATCCGAGGAAATATCCATTGACAACACGGGAAGCTATTATGAAAAAAATAAAATAAAATTAGAAATTACATGTATGTAGAATTATATAGAATTGCTTATAATTATGTATGATTATTATGAAATAATTACCTTGTGTCCATATAATGACAAAAAAAATTTCAATGTATCACTATAAAATACTTTAACTGTCGAATCCAATAATCCAACTGCTATCAATTTCTGATTGGGACTGTAACGAACGCATAAAACGTCGTCAGTCATTTTAAGTGTACGTTTATGAATTAAAGTTAATCTACGCGTACTTGTCTATTTTAATATATAAACTTAATAAATTCCTACTGACATCTGACATTAGACATTAGAACTTAAATTTTTCGAAACTTTTACAAACCGTGATTTCTCCGTTAGAGTTTTCCAACAAAAATTCAAAATCCCAAAATTTAACATTTTTATCCGCACTCCCCGTAACAATCCCTTCTTTATCTGGACGAATATGTAATGACCATATAGGACCATCGTGTGCTTCTATAGATTCAATGATAGATGATGATGCGAGATCGAATAATTCCAAATGTCCAGATTTTGTACCGACAATAACCTGCATTATGTATTATTATCTTCATAAATATAGTTTTATTTTAAAAAAAGATTAAAAAAATTTTATTACTAGAACTCACATAACGATCTCCTGGTAAAAACGAACAACATAAAGCATATCCGCATTCAATAGTTTTAATACATGATGACGATTTAACATTCCAGATTTTAAGATTGTCTAATAAATTTTTAAATTTAATATCGAACTTAATAGAAATAAAGAAATATCAACTAAAGTGTCAATTTAATATAAATGTTATGTGAAATATATTACCCTTCGAACATGAACATAATAATTCATCATCAGAACTTAACGCTAAAGTTCTAACATCATTACGATGACCAGGTATATCTAATGAATAAAGATTCGTAGGTACTGGTTCATCTTTTTTCTTAGAAGGTAAACTTAACGCATATAACTCGAGTGTATTATTTGTCAAGGATGTGAGAATCTATAAAATCTAAATTTATTAGGAAACGAACAAATTTTCATGTATGAAATAATATTTAAATCAATTATACCTGAATTGAATTGATTTTTGAAATGTTTTCATTTGGCAAAAAATCAAAGGAACGAATCTTCCCGTTTGCACGAATAATTTGATATGGAGTTATCATATCATTAACATTAATTTCTTTCTCCTTGACTTCATTATCTATTTGAATCGTCATATTTTCATCAACATCATTAATTCCAAGCTTTTGATTTTTTTCTTTCTGTCTTTTCTTACGACGCGCCATTTTCTTTTTTATTTCTTCATGAGTATGAATTCTAAAAATTTCAACAAATTTTTCTGGTCCTTGCACACCTAATAAATCAACCTTAGGATGAAACTTTAATGTGACAACACGATCTTTCCCTTGCCTTTTCACATTTCCATAAAAATTGATTACTTTTTTCACCTGAAAATATGTATAATTAATTAAATTAAATTAAATTAAATGAATGATCTAAGAACATAAAACATAAGAAATGAATTTTTATTATTTTTTTAAATAGAAGAAAATTTACCTCAGCATTATTTACATTATTTTCGTTCTGATTATTTTTTACTTCAAAATTACTTTCAAGAACTTCATAATCAATTGTCCAGACTTTCATATCTGCATCATCACCACCTGTGACAATCATTTTACCATCTTTTGATATATCAAAATCCCAAATTTCACTACGATGGCTTACTACTGTCTCGATACAATGCTGAGTACTAAGATCCCATAACTTTAAAAGAGTATCTTTAGATGACGAAATAAGATATCCCGGTGATGAAATTTCATTGTCCTTACTTAATAAAGATTTAGGAAGAAACCGGATTGAAGTGATTTGGTCCTTATGACCACACAATCTATAAAAAAAATGATAAAAAAAAAATTTATTATTATTTATGCTAATTCGAATCAGATAAAAATAAAAAAAAAATAAAAAAAAGCGCGAATTAACTAAATTACCTAAAAAGTCCAACTTCACCGATTACATCCCAAAGAATTATATTTGTATCTTTTGATCCTGATGCTAATCTTGTCCCAGTTTTATCAAATAACAAGCTAGTTACCGCTTTTCGATGTCCATTAAAAATAAGCGAAGTAGCTGATTGCCCAATTCTCCATATTCTGATCGATCCATCAGTATACCTATATAATTTTTTTTTTTCAGTAATTTCAGTTATAAATTAACTAAATCTTCAAATAATAATCAAATCATGAAGTAGGTTTTACTTTACCCGACGGCATAATCTTGATTATTCGGACTTCTTGCTATTACAGTTACTTCTGATTTATTATCAGAATCATGCCATTTTTCTTTCTAACATTGTTAAAGTAATAGAGTAAAAATTAGATCTAGTAAAAAATAAAGAAATTTGAAAAAATATGAAATTCTAACAATTCTAACCTGTAAACCTTTTTTTAAATCCCATAAAATAATATCTTCTAAAGCAGGAGCAACTGTAAGTGTATCTTCACCTGTTAAAACTGCATTTGATAAGGAACTAGAAATGACTCCAAAAGTTTTCCAAGGTTCAAATCTCAAATATGATTTTACCATTTTAAAATTATCGATAAAAAAAATTTTATCTTTAAAATTTTTATACCCTGAAATCTTGAAAATCTTGCAAGATTTTTCAGGGGTTTACGATTATTAACAGTTAATGTGTAGCTACTGTTTGTTTACATGTGACAAAAAGTAAAGTTATTGTTATAAATATTTATCAAAAATATTGTTATTATTATTGTTCTCCAGACTGCGCAAAATTCTTCGATACCATTATCAACTACAATGTCAAACTTCGATCATTACGACTGGATGTTTACTTCGCCACCTATAAATACTGACCGTGTTGAAGAACGTAAAGACACCACAAATAAAACTAATCGTTCTTGTCGCCATGTCGCAAAGGCAAACGCATTGAAAAAGAATACAAAGAAGGTTAGCCTACATTTTTCAGTTTATCATAAGTGGTTTTTTAATTAAAATTATTTATGCACAGTAGACTTCCAAACTGAACTCTGAAAAGTCTGTGGTTACTTCACCGAAAAAGAAAGAAACGAAGCGTTCGGTCTTAATTAAAAAGAGGACTGTTCATGAATCCGATGAACAACATAGTCATGAGACAAGTTTGACTAAAAAACCCCGTATTATTTCTGAAATTCCACCAACAGAAAAGGTACAATTTTTCTCTTCGCGAGATTTTGTTGTAGACGCAGCCAAGATAATTGAATCAGCTGATGTAATAAATGAATTTAATAATAAATACAAAGATAGAAAATCATCCCGCTGTTATAAAGATTGTAAGCATCAGGAATTTTCATATGAATTAAATATTTCTATCATCTTTTTATTAACAATATATTCTATCTCTTATTTTAGATTGTCGTCATAAAGCTCAAACTCGTAATGATATAGATCATAAAACTTTCTTTAAATATAATGGTATCCTTGAAGTATCTTTGGAATATCCCGGATCCGATTTCAGAGAAAGGTTTGTTAAATTATTATTATTATTATTATTTTTAATTTTTTTCTTGATATAATTATATAAACCAAAATATTATACCTTATTCATTAGATATTTGTTGGCATATCTTTATAATGGAGACGGATATTTTCCTGTAGACGATTTAATGGATACAGTAAATGCAATTATTGAAATCATGTTTAAAGATGAAATTGCGGAAAAATTTCAAGATTCACGAATTCAACTTGATGAAGAGACATCTTTGAAAAAGGGTAATATAGATAGAAGACTTACTCGAGCAAAAAACCGAGGGAATTGGGTTGATTTCGTAAATGCTATCAAAATATTTAATCAATATCTTCAAGAAGCGAAAAAGGCTGGTAATTTCCTTGCAGTCCATATTACCACATCAGATCCCAATAATGAGAAATTTCGAAAATTGATTCATCATATTATTCAGCAAGTATATGATCGTGTGGCATCTCCAGAAATGTCACGAATAATTAAGAGAGGTAAATTTTTTATACCATTTTTTAATTTTTTTTTCCTTTTAAAGATAAAATTTTTTTTTAATTTTAATTTATTTTTTTTTTATTATTTTAGGCCAAGATAAAAGTCAAGATTATGGCGAGTTATTGCCTCCATTCATTGATGATATCATTCAAAAAACGCAATTGAATCGCAATTCAATTTTCATGGATTTCGGATCAGGGGTTGGAAACGTTTGTCTTCAAATTGCAGCACAAGTTGGGTGTAGTGTATACGGAATCGAAGTACTTCCAGAAAGATATAATAGTTCTGTGAATTTTACCAAAGAATTTTTAAGAAGGACTAGGTTAGATTTTTTTGTTAGATTATTATTATTTATTTAATTTTAATTAATTTAATTTAAGTTTTATTTAAGTTATTTATATATGACATTATTTTAATAGATTATACAGTGTAACATCTGGTCCGATTGAAATTTATAATATGGATTTACGTAGAATTGGTGAATTAAGAAATATGTTGGACATTCTGGGAAAGGCAGATATAGTTTTATGCAATAATTTAGCTTTTGATGCTTCCCTCAATAACTTCATAAAAGATTTATTTCTATCTACGAAATCCAACGCTCAAGTAATTACGCTTGTTCCGTTACATGATATAGTCAGGCATGATGATAATATTTGGAAAAAAGTTGTTGAACATAAATATAACAACAATTGGGTCTCCTGGACTAGTACTGGTGGTTCATATTATCGTAAGTTTAATTGAATATATTCATTATTCATGATTTGCTTTAAATTTTATTAATTAATAATATTATTTTAGAACATATTCGTAAGGATGACAGGGAAAGTTGACGTCAAAAAGAAAAAAAAAATCTATCAAACAAATTGTTTTGATATAAAATTTTTTTTGATTTTTTTTTTTTTTCCTTCGCGCTTACTAGAACTCTCACTAGAACTCTCACTATAAACGACGAGATAATAAACCAATTTTGGAAATTTTTTAAATTTTACGATATACACATTGGATTTTATTACAACAATCCATTACATTAGATAGATTTTTTTAAAGACTGAGCATATAATTTATAGTGTATTTTGACACTTATTTATTGATCTAATTATATCAATATTTATGTATTTCAAGTTATATCACTTGAAAAAGAAATATTATAAATTTAAAGAACTAAGACTGTTCGATGATTATTTTTTGATTTCTTTTGATAAATTGGATCCGTCAGAATAAAATAAACAAGCATTATTCTTGCTTTTGCTTAAATTTGCACGATTTCATCGTGTCCAAAGTGAATATAATGGTATGAAAATTTGAATCTAACTACCAAGTAGAAATCATTAATTTGTGCGATGAATTGATCTTGATTTAATCACCACTTTATCCACCGCATTTTCATGAAAGTAGAAAATTGACATTTCCATATTTTGCCTAAGACATTGTTAACCTGCCAAGTGACATAATGCGTGCGGTGGTCTCCTTAAAGTTTGTCATAATTTTATCAAATTCGGATAAAATTATTCTCAGTATTGCAGAAAGGTTTTGATAAATTTATATAATATATATTAACTTTATTATAATTGAATTTTAAAGTAGTGATCAAAAATATGATTGGTCATTTCAAATGAGTTCATTCTTGTCTATTATTAGTCCAGGTTTGTCTTCACAAAGGTTATTATTTTCATTAATGTGTACAGTACAATACCAATTTCCGACATATTTTTTCCTTAATGTTTTTTTATTAAAATAAAAAATATTATACGGTTAAAAATACCTTCAATCAAAATATCGTCAAAATCATCTAGACAATTTGAGTTAAAATTTTTGATCAAATAATCGCTGCGTTTATTTTTATTTTTTCATTTGGGATGCTATAAATAAAAAGAAAAGGGAAGATTTGAAATCAAATTCGCATGTGATTCACATTCTGCGCATTCGTCATTTTCTAATTGTTCTCGAAAGTGTATTAGACAATTCTAGAACAATTGGAAAACAATCTGCGAATGAATAGAATTCCATAAATACAAACATTAGAAATTACTTTTATATGCATTGTAACACATTTATATTACTATTTTAAAAAATATGATGCAGATCTTTTAACAAAAAAAGTATAAATATACGAGTTTATCAATAGCTTGGCAACTACGCATACGCATATATAACCTAAATAACTTAAATAACCTATATAAAAATAATCTATAAATAACCTCTTCAAAATCCACTTTTTAAACTTTATAACCATGGACGTGAACACATATTGTCCTGAATGTAATCAGTTCCTTGATTTTAAGTATTGGTGTCAACCATGTCAAACACAACAATTCCAAGAAAACTTTGATAATTGGACAAGTGGTTTTAAAGAAATTGACGATTTTATAAAATCAACTCAAATAAATGCAAATGATTGTACCGAATATTTAGAATGGTTACCATTTAATTCTTTTATTGGAATTAATAAATATGATTCATCGGAGGCCGGTACTGTTTACACTGCCAATTGGAAGAAAGGTCCAACTGATACTTGGGATGAGGTTGAAAAAAAATATGTGGCAAAGAGAGAATTAGTCAAGGTTGCTTTGATTTCTGTGGGTAAAACTCCTGCTGCATTTTTGAAAGAGGTAAATATTTATTGTTAGATTTAAAGTTTTTTTTATTTTCTTTTATTTATTTATTTTATTTTTATTTTTCTCTTGATGAATAGTTAAAATTACATTACAACGCTCGTAAAAAGAATGGGCTTATTGTAAGATTGTTTGGAGCAACAAGAGAAACCGTTACCGGACAATTAATGATGATAGCTGAAACTTGTGAATGGGATTTAAGACATTATGTCTCTCATCATTATGCTAAATTAAGTTGGTCTCATAAAATTGGAATTCTTTACTCTATTGCTTGTGCTCTTGAATCCATGCACGAAAATGAACGAATACATCGAGATTTAAATTCGACGAATAATCAAACATTTAAATCACATCTAGAAATTCCAATTAATCAATTAAGTCTTGGAGACAGTAAAGATTCAATTCCAATTATTGGCTATTATAAAAATGATCTTTTACCTTACTTTGCTCCCGAAATCTTGAGAGATGAACCTCATACTGAAAAATGTGACATTTATAGCTTTGGAATTTTGATGTGGGAATTATCAACCAACAAACTTCCGTTTCATGATTCTCGTAACTCTAAACTAATTGATTCCATTCGTTATCGTAATTTACGTCCACTCATTGAAGTAGATACACCTGATTGTTATATTAGATTAATGAAGAACTGTTGGTCATCAAATCAAGATAAACGTCCTTTAGCATCAGAATTAGTAAAAACATTAGAACAATGGCATTTATATAAAAAACATTTTAATCAATTTGATGAGGCAGAAAAAATTAGAGTTAAAGACATGAAAACGAAAGGATTAAACACAACAGGAAAATTGATTGCACCCCAAAAAACTCATCCGCAAGCGATTTACGTTAGTAGAAGATTGAAATTTCCAATATTTCCACCAGATAATGTACGAAATCAAAAAGGTTTATCGAGTTTTTTGGTCAAAGGTGAAAACTTTTTCGATAAAAATAAATTACACCAAAGAAAATTTGAAGAAGTTTTTTAAGATAATATTAATTAAAAATTCCATATTATGTTTATTATAGCTCATTTTTGAATTGAATTTTATTATTCAAATTATGTATTATAATATTTTAAAAGAAATATTTAAATCTGGTTTAATAGAATTTATCAATTGGAAATAAAAATTAATATTTTTTTGAAAATTTAATTTTTTAATTAAAAATTTTATATTAAATGACAGAATTTGAATAAAAAAAAAACAACAGGATTTTAATAAAAATTAAAATTTTGCCTAGTATCTGCGGTGATATTTAGCAATGAAAATTGCTAAAGTCACCACTGGGCAAAGTTAGGGTTAGGGAATAATGTAATTTTGCCTGCCTGTAGCGAAATTCCCAAAATTAAAAGTAAAATTTTAGAAATAAATTTTGGCCAATGAAATTACCTTTATAATCAAATATTTTTTGACACAAAATTATTCTTTTTTTATTGGTCGTTTCATGATCGAACAAAAAATATATATAGATTTTTAATTTTTCAATTTTTAAATTTTGACTTTAATTTTTCTTCAGAAAGTGCTGAAAAGGTATTACTAGTACGAATAGGATAAATATTTAAATTTCAAATCAAAAAAAAAAAAATGATGAAAATTACATTTAATTTAATTAAAGGCTGTTTCAAACTGAATGTTTAAAATCTGTCGATAAATGCCTCTCTGATTTTTTTTTTTATTATCATTTATAGAAGGAATTAGAACAGAATATTCATTTATACTAAATAATTAATTAAATTTTTGTTTATATTAGAATTTAATATTTCTAAAGAAATCACAACCAATTCCTTAAATCTTTAAAGGTAATTATTATACACTTATCTTCTAAAAACAGAACAAGGTCAATCCTAAAATTCTATCAGAAATACTAAAAATACTTTTATTTCTTTACATTCTAAAGTCAACAATCATGAAGGACATTTTCTTTAAGTGAGATGGTTGACTAAAACAGAACAAGGTCAATCCTAAAATTCTATCAGAAATACTAAAAATACTTTTATTTCTTTACATTCTAAAGTCAA